TTTTATTTAATGAGTGATGTGCGTGAAAACCTAAGAAACAAATATATTATTTACTATTATTTATTGTCGCATGACGTCACGTCGTGGTACGTGGTACAATAATTGTACCACTACGTGACGTCATGCGACATTTCAAATCAATATATTTCTGTAATGATTTGATTATGTAAAAAAAATATTCGTGTCCAAATCTTTTCGATAATCTACCTGATAGACGAAGAAAAAAAAGTTAGTCAGCATCCCTCTTCTTCTGAGTTATTGATCAAATTCGTTAAACAATATTTCTTATATTTTAACTTTAATTCAACAGACTGTAAGAAAGTGTATACAAGGTGATACAGAAGTTATATTGGCTCTGACAAGCTTGTTGGCCGATAACCCTCGAAACCTACAGTTATTTTTGGAATGCAACGGTATATCAATATTCAATAGGTATAATTGTGTTTATTTTTTTCGAGTCAATGACCTAACTTATTTTTTGTTTTGGCGAAGAATTAATATACTATCCTACTAGTTCAGTCAAAGAAGGCTAAATCAGCTACAATCTCCGATTTCGTTGAACCTCCATCGATTTTCATGAAAATTGGTGAGTAGGTGGGGGATACCTTAAGAAACAAAAGTGACATAGTGCCAACTTGCGCTTTTGCCCTGGGGGTAGATGCCACATCTTCCCGGGGGGTGAAAATTATTTTAATAAAATAACTCGAGAAATCGATAGAAAAATAAATTCTAAGCAAAATTTGTTATATAAAGATTATGGAATAAATCAATACTTTCTGAGTTATTAAAGCAACGATATTAAATACCCTGGATACACCACGAGCTCTAAAAATTTGTCCCTATCAAGAAGTGCTTGAACTCCACCGCGGACCGTTACAAAGTCAAGATGCCACAGAGCTCCGCGAAAAAATACGAAAATAGTACGAAAGGTGTCGTTTTTTCGACAGGTATCTTGTCAATGTTTGTTAATTTAACTCATTTCAAGCAAATTTTGATCTAATACTTACTATAAACTGATCTAATATCAAATATTTGTGATATTCGATTGCCGTCGGTCGGTTATACGTCGCCATATAGCCGTCTCTTTTCCTCGCGGTCCGTGCCTGCTATATTGGTAACAGCGCGTTCAGAATTGCGCGTAGAATCAAAGAACTAAGGTCTAAATTCTTCCGCATATAGCAATAAGTCGTTAAATTTTACGAGCTTGCATTTCGAACTGTCAGAAGTCCTTGACGCATGCTTTTTATTTAAGACCTTATACAGTATGTATTAAAGGTTACTTTCAATATTTAAATAATGCCATGATCATCTTACGGAGCTCCGTGGATCGTTCAATGTACCTTTTGGACAGGTTTCGGGCACGATTTTGTTCGTGTTGGTGTATCTAGGGTATTTAATATCGTTGTATTAAAGACCAAAGATTGTGATTTTTCGTGATAAAAATACACGTTTTAAAGCGGTTTTTCATAAATAACTCAAAACCTATGAGTTTTTACATAAATAAATATTATTACCAAAATTGAAGCTACTAAAAAATCAAACAAGCCCCTACTTTGAAAAATCTTCTAAAATTAATTTAAAGTGAGCTATAGGTTATTGTATGTACATTTTTTTCGGCGAATACTTAAATCTAAGTATTCAAACCTAAATAACGAAAAACCGATGTATTTTATGACATATACTTAATAATCTTTAATAACTCGGAAAGTATTGGTTTATTCTAAAAACTTTAAATTACAAATTTTGCTTAGAATCTGTCTCACTATCGATTCCTGGAGTTGTTTTTATTAAAATTATTTTCACTCCCGAGAAGGGGTGGCATCTACCCCCAGGGCAAACCGCAAGTTGGCAATATGTCATTGTTTCTTAAGGTATCCCCCACCTACTCACCAATTTTCATGAAAATGGATGGAGATTCAACGAAATCGGAGGTGAAAACCTTCATTGACTGGACTATACCTATTTATAATACTTTTGCCTGTACATTGATAACAAGCACACGCAGTCTCCCGGTAAACAAAAAATATATATTTATCCAATCGATGTCATTAAGATTTGAAACAAAAACATGTTTTTCGCCCGTTATCATCAGGGGCGTGGTCTTTCACCTATTATTAAAAAGTCTACTGAGCATCCTTCTGTCAACACGCTGTGTATGATTGTATCTCATTAACCTTAATAGGTGGAAAGTTGCCCTTTCTTCTTTTTTATAGCAGCTTGACTAACAAATGTCTGATAAGAATTAAAACTACCACCCACAGCTAAACTCATTTTTATGGGTAAATACTCAAATAAAGCAAGAAACTCGTAAGTCCTTTTTAAAGCTTGAAGAAATATTCATGCCAAATGAGCGCTGGTCGAGTCTCCCGCCACGCCTGCTTCAATGACGTCATCCGCAGAGCTTTTGTCGCAGTCAACATGCCAGCGGTCCTTGAGCCAAGCGGCATTTTTCGTGACGATGGCAAGAGGCCTGACGGGTAGACGCTCATTCCTTGGAAGCAGGGTCGCCCTCTTGTGTGGAACGCAACTTGCGCAGATACGCTTGCTCCGTGCCATACAGGGAGCACCTCCCTAGCTGCGGGCGCGGGCGGCGGCCTCTGCTGAGTGCTCCAAGCGGCGCAAATATTCAGCTCTCAATGAGAACTATATATTTGTGCCGTTTGGTGTAAAGACTATGGGCCCATGGGGTCCGAGCGTTCGTTCCTCATATAAGGAACTATCAAAGAGACTCACCGAAGTGACTGGTGACCAAAAGGTTGGCAGCTATCTTGGTCAACGGATCAGCCTTGCCATTCAACGTGGCAATGCTTCCAGCCTATTGGTCACCATTCCTGACAGCGGCGCTGGGGGTGACTAATTTTTCAGTTTGTAAATCAGATATTATTCACAAGTAGGTTACGGTAATTTATATTAAAATTTTATACATTAGGTATTTTTTAAGTTGTTGTCATTTTGTTTTCTATAATAAATATCTTAATTTATTTAGACCATAGATTTATTAAAAGTATTAGACTATTATTCATATACGTCTTTTCAGGGAACTACTGCAACACGATATTTGTTTGCATCTCTTAGACATGTTGGTTCAAAATATTCCAATCGAATCACTGAAATTATTACACCAGCGTGTAAACGAACATTTACAATATTTCAAGACATTTTATGGCACAAAAACGCGGGTGAGTAAATCTTGACGTCTCTTTGGCATGCAACGATTATAGTTAACTAATACATTTTTAACGTTTTTAATTAAAGGTTGGGCAGTGGGCAACTCTTATATTGTATCATTTGAATACTCGAGTTAAAGGTAAGGGACAGTATTTTTTGCAAAATGGATGTCTTGGATAGTGCAATAAAGCCAACAACTTATTGAAATTTTTGAGAGTGCATGAAAGTAGATATGAGTTTTAGTTAGTCAATAGACAAGTCAGACGACTTTTGTGCGTTCACGTGCGTGGCATAATCTTTATCACATGGAGCAATGACCTTATAAGGAGAGTAATTAAGCATGTTGGAAATTAATCAGCAGACAAGTTCAACTTTAAGCGCTTAATAATAAAGGTCATGCCACACACTAGATCCCAAAAAGTCAGCGGCAAATTTAACCTTTTCTTGTGAAACGTCTGGAAGAAATAACTTGAAGGCAATAAAATGTGTTCAGGTATTTGTTATATATTTTTATTGCTAGGATTGGAAGAAAAAGAGAGGAGTTATTTTGACTTACAAAATAAAAATATTAACAAGGCTAGTAACATCTCAGATGGTCTACTTTTGAAACCGCAGTGCGATGAGACGGCCAAGCTGATACAGAATGTCATTACGGAAATTTACCAATACAACACGAATATTGCGAAGAAAAATCCAGTTTTTAGGACTGCCAAGGCGTTGAGTATCTTTGACAAAACCACAAAATATAGTAATGCAAACAACAATGTTTTTGTCAAATGTACTGGACTTTACAAAAGCAAAAATAAAAACCAGTCAAGACAGGTATCAAGAATATCAAATAACGATTCCGACAAAGATATGACCTTCTCATTCTTACTAAAGCAGCCATTGCAAGATTCTCGACTAAATGTTAATAATATTGTAAACAGTAATCTGCAAAAATATGAAACTACTTTATCTCAAAAGTTGCCAATACAAGTAAACATAACTGAATCCCATAGTAATATAAATTACCCTACTTGCTTGAATCGCGCAGAAATTCCCAAAGATAAACTGAATAATCAGCTTTATGAGTCTAACGCACTGGATTTTAAGCCGAATTTTGTATCAACACCTAAACATAAACACAGATCTATGAATTTAACTAATAGTTCACGCCTGAGCAGACAGAGTCTTAAGACTATAAGAAAAACGAATTTTCGAAATGATGAATTTAAAGTTAATGGAAAAATGACGAAAGATATGGAAACCTCCCAAATGCAATCTATCAGACATAGATCAATAAGTAGCAGATTATTTGATGCTATAAATGATTCATGCACAACGCTCGTGAAGACAGTTAAAAGTATATTTAAAACTAAAGGTTCAAAGAAGAAAGTAAACGAGCAAGTGATTGGGGCGGATCATTCGTGTAGCTACAGTTTTACTGAATACATGCGGAAACGTGATGCTGGGCTTATTGATGGGAAGACGGAAAATACAAGCGCAATCAGTGAGTCCAGAAATGTTGAAAACTGTAAAACCTGTAATGATACTCGACAGCTTAAACGCAAAATCATGAGCGACGACTGTTTGAGAGATACAATACGAAAATTAAAACTAGGAATAAATTTGTATGGATGTGACTTTAAGGTGAATATTCGAATATTAAATAGTTATAACAAAATGTAATACAGGTAACAATGATGGGAGGTGGACTATTATTTTCTAAAAATGATAATTTTTTGCAGAAAATATCACGGACTATGTGGCCGCGTGAAAATTATATGACTCCAGAAGTACTTTACAATTTGTATCGCAAAATAATAATAAAGTAGTTCTTATAAAATATACCGTGTATTTGTATTATACAAAAAAAAACTATAAATTAGTTATTATAATTTACAATAACTAGATTCGTGACGCACCATATCACTTGTCACATCAGCAACTGTTGGAGTTCCTGTAAGAGACAAAGCATTGTCAGTATATTGTTGGTAAACTGACTGCCAGTTTCAATAATCAAACTGCAGTAGAAGATAGGCCTTTTAGACCTTCGTTGCCAAGATATTTTTTATTATTTTGATTAAAATAATAACTTGCCAAAGATCAAAATAAGCTTGCAGGCTATTAACCGTGGACCCACCAGGGGGACATGTTGGTGGGACCAGGGGTAATAGCTGAAGCTTTACTGGAGCTTGATTATTGAAACTGGCAGTTAATATAGAAAAATAAATAATAAAGATACGATTCGAAAGTTATTCCAATCATCTCTGAAGTGTAGTTTTGTAATTATCATAATACTGGTGTCGAATCAGACATGATTCTCCTAAACTTAAATTTGACAAGTGTATGCTTGTCATTATCTATACAGAATAAAAAGGAGACCGATGATAAATTAAGTTTAGGGAATCATGCCAAAATCCACACCATTATGTTGTATAAAATTCATAAAGCGACCAGTAACTGTAAACATACTTGTAGTAATAGTACCTGCTATTTGGAAAGTATATTCCAGTTCAGTGCGCAGAATGTTGAGGGTTTTCTGGACACCAGCCTGTCCACCCACAGCTAGTCCCCACAATGCAGGTCGCCCAATAAAAACCTAATTAAATGTTAAGTTAGTGGTATTTTAGATTTCCATAATTTATAAACTACTATACTAGCAGCCGCCCTCGACTTGATCCGCGTTAACTTTAGTTTCTTGAGAATCCATCAGAAACCTTAAATTATTTTTTTACGATAAAAAGTATCCTGTCACACACCATACGTATTGAAGCGGCGCGGTTGCAAAAGCATGTGTAAAGATGTGCCTTTATCTTCCAAGACGATGACAGCGGAGAAGTTAAAAGAGGAAACATACGTAACCTTATCTTCCGTTTGAAATCCATTTTGGAAATTAAAAGCACTCTCCAGCCACCCCAAATGTTCTGTTTGCAGCGTTGCAGTCATGCGGCTAAAATGCTTTAATATTTATATCGTTGATGTTTGGAGTAGTGTTCACTTTTTGTTTGGCTAAATGAATTTCAACACTGTTTTCCGTGTATATAGTCAAGGCTGTCAACGTACAGAAATTTTGATCATAAAATATCTTTAGACCAAACAATACCAAAAGGGGCATTAATGAGGAGTGGAGTTCGGAGAGTAGCTCGGCTAGAATTTCATAACATTGTTTCATACTCCTGCATATAAGGATGATGCACACCCTGCAATGCAAGGGATCGCCCCCTTTTCATAGTAAAAAACAGCTACATACCATTTTGGCTCCTAGTGCTAAGGCTTTGTAGACATCTGTGCCGCTTGTCACACCGCCGTCCAAATATACTTCAACGTTGTAGTCTCTCACGGCTTTTACAATTTCAGGTAGTGCTTCAATCTAGAAAACCAGCATATCACGTTCTTATTAGGGCAAGGAACAGTAGCATAGAGTGAGTGGGACAAAAATCAACGGCGATCGCTTCAAAACGTAATATAGAGAACTAACTTTATGGTTTAGTAGATATTTAGAAGGGATTGCGCTGTTTCATTGCCCTTATAAACCATCCACGTTTCTTTGAACGCCTCATCACCAAATTACCACGTGATTTCTAAATCGAAAAGCAGAGCATGGACTTTGTGACTTTTGGTAATATTCTAATACTAGCGGCTGCCTGCGATTTATTACGCGTGGAGTTAGTAATTTGCACATACTTTTTGACCCCTGTTCACTGCTCCTTCCCCGTAGGTGATAACGTGTAGCCTATATGTTGACCCGACTTTTTAATAATATTCGTGCCAAATTTGAAGTAAATCCATGCGGTACTTTTTGAGTTTATTCGGGAAAACACATACAGACAAACATTCTAACAACTATATTTTTGGCTTCGGTATCGATTGTAGATGACACTCCATGTATTCTTTTAAAAAATATTCAATGTACAGTTATGACTTTCCTACCATTTTATTATATGTATAGATACAGGGCGTCCCACGGCTACCTCACACGAAGAGAAAGCATCTATACATATTATAATAAAATGGTACGAAAGTCAAAACTGTACATTGAATATTTTTTTTAAGAATACTTGGGGTGTGATCTACAATCGAGACCGAAGCTAAGAATATAGTTTTTAGAATTTTTGTCTGTTTGTCTGTATGTACGTCCGGGATAAACTCAAAAAGTACTACATGGATTTTCTTCTGGCACGAATATTATTAAGAAGACGGGTCAACATAATATAGGCTACATATTGGTGTTAATTCTGGCGTGATTCTCTAAACTTAAAACTAAATTTAAGGTCAGTCTCACCTTTTCATTCTGTATAGAGAAGGACAAGGATGTACTGTTGTCAAATTTAAGTTTAGCTTTAGAGAATCATGCCAGAATCGACATCATTATCACGCTATCACCTACGGAGAACGAGAAGTGAACCTTTATTTTTAACTAACTCCGCGCGTACGAAGACGCGGGCGGCCGCTAATATTAAATATTGAAGATAGGATATGGGGCCGTCCATAAATTACGTCATCGATTTTTTCAGATTTTAGACCCCCCCCCCCCCCCTACAATCATCCTATCGTCATTTCTTAATGATTATTATTTTTATAAATTTCAGCTAATTGCATTGTAACTATGAGTTCAAAAAGAAATGCATACGTACTACAGTTTGTATATCACTTAATTATTTTTATCACGTAATAATAAGACATTCCTTTCATTTAGAATACTATGTTATTTAGCAAAAAATGTGTGCGTGTACTAGTGTACACACGTAAGAAGTGAAACTTCTTTATGGCCTTATTTTTTTCAAAAATGATCTACATGCAACTTTCCAGAAATATATATATAGGCGTGCGCTAAGATTTTTCAAAAACTCACCCACTAAAGGGGTATAACTACACCTTACCTTACCTTACCTTACCTTACCTTACCTTACCTTACCTTACCTTACCTTACCTTGTGTGAAACACGAATATTTGCTGTCGATACTTTTTTTTTTAAAGTTGACAGAAGAAGCAATTGTTCGGATAAGGTAAATAGTGCTCTTTTAAAAAAAAGATGGCGCGTAACCAAAAAACGTGACGCGTAACCGAATAAAAATGTGACGGTAAATTTTTTTCCAACGCCGATAAAGAAGTTTCACTTCAAAAATAATCCTTATGATTAACCCTTTCGATGTTTTCATAAAATATGTTGTTTTTTCTTCGAAATTCCACCGAAATTTCACGAGTTTGATTCCCAGTTGTAGCAGGCGATTTAAAAAAAATATGTGGATGCAGGTCTAGCTCTACTAAAAAAGGATGTCTTCTTTCAGTAGAATATCCTATCTTCAATATTTAATATTAGCGGCCGCCCGCGTCTTCGTACGCGCGGAGTTAGTTAAAAATAAAGGTTCACTTCTCGTTCCCCGTAGGTGATAGCGTGATAATATGTAGCCTATATGTTGACCCGTCTTCTTAATAATATTCGTGCCAGAAGAAAATCTTACTTTTGATATTATAAATATGAATACCTATAACTGTTAATTTATTACAAAAAATAAAGATGTGGTTTTTGGTTCTACTACACCAATGGTCAAGAGATGGCGCTGTAGTCTCCTGAATCGCGCTTTGGTTCCGTTGTTCCAGATTAATAAATACTTTTGATAGGCCTTCACAATGCAGTCGTTAGCACTCACTAAATAGATATTCTATTTCTATTTTGTTGGTAGATTTTCTTAATGTGCAGTAGGTAAACACAAAAGTAACGCATGAAGTTTAAGACCAACTTCATGCTGTTAAAATTTTGTGTTACAGTGATGCGCGCGCATCTTAAAATTTCACTCTCATCATTTTTTCATAACGCGCCTAAAGAAGTATAACTTCAAAAATTCTAAAAACTATATTCTTAGCTTCGGTATCGATTGTAGATCACACCCCAAGTATTCTTAAAAAAAATATTCAATGTAAAGTTTTGACTTTCGTACCATTTTATTATAATATGTATAGATGCTTTCTCTCCGTGTGAGGTAGCCGTGGGACGCCCTGTATCTATACATATAATAAAATGGTAGGAAAGTCATAACTCTACATTGAATATTTTTTAAAAGAATACATGGAGTGTCATCTACAATCGAAACCGAAGCCAATCCGAAGTCTTCTTTCAGTAAAATATCCTATCTTTAATATAATACTTTCCTCTGTGTGAGGTAGCCGTGTGCCGCCCTGTATACTAACTAAAACGCCAGTCTATCATCGAGTTAACTTTAGTAAGTTAGCACCGTCTCGTTACTATTGCGGACGGCTGTTGATTTTCATGAACGTACCATTAGCACGAACTAATATCGAATTCGTAACGTTTGCGAGTCCGAAATGTCATCGTCAAATGTGTACCTACTGATTTTTAGTTCACGTTACGTACTTTGTGGCGCTGCTGTTCAAGTTTCCATACAAGATTTGACATTGACATTTAGCACTCGCAAACTATTCGAATTCAATAATGGTTCATGCTAGGGGTACAGATAGTAAAAGCCTAATAGACAGGGTCAGTGATAGGCGACGGGCCAGCAATCTGTCTCTGTACCTACCAGATCAGTTTAAGCCTAAAACACACATAAGGTGGATGCAGGTTGGGACGCGAAGTCATGAAGAATATAATTGAATGTGTACTTAGACAAACATACTTGTTTATTGACATGTATGTGATAAAAAATGCGGAAAACACGACGCCCACCCGATTTGTGTTTTGGGCTTCATAGTCACAGATTTGCTGATCTGCCAACCCAGCCATGGCTATATCGTAAAATTATATAAGATATTCCCAGTGAAATATCGATTTGGAACGACTATACAGTTGCCGGTACACCGTCTAGTTGCCTCGCGCCGTGGTTGGATACAAGTATGGCGGAGCAGCCTGCCCGCGCAGCCATCACAGCGTCGTCAGCACGAAGTATACCCTTTGCTACTATTGGTAATTTCGTAATACTGCAATAAATTAAGAATACATACAAAAACAACATTTAATATATAATTTTAAGGTTCTATTTAAATGTGTGTTTCCTTGTGTGTTTGACTGCGTGAGTGTGTTTGTTGTGTTAGTATGAAAACATTACAAACCTTTTTAACCATTTCACATCCTCCCAAGTCAAAGTTTTATCAAATAAATTATTTACATAATTATTTAGTCCACTACTGCCCTCCTCAGTGTCATGAATTTTAGTGGCTAAATGCCCTTCAAAATTAGCAAAACTGAAAAGAAAATAAGAACAGATCTTTGTAGGTCGTGTTACTTTGTATGAAGAACTATAGATTTTATTAACAAATTTTAATTTACCTCAAATGCGGAGGGAGTGTGAACTTATTCCGAATATCAGCTCGCCGAATTCCAAATAAGGGTGTATCCACTGTAAGAGCAATAGCTTGGAATCCAGCATTATCAGCTCTTAAAACTAAATTTCTTGTGATCTCTCTGAAAAATAAATCATCATCAGCCTATTAATGTCGCCACTGCTTGGGGCACATACCTTTCTTATGGATGGAATAGAGGGATAAGGCCGTGACCGTGACCCACAACGCGGGCTCAGTGCGGTTATTGGTGGGTGCTAACGACTGCAGATGCAGCCAGGGCCAACGGCTTATCGTGACTTCGTTAGGAGTTCGGAATAATATTTTTTTGATCACCCATCCAATCATCGACCATTGCGAAAGTTTATATATAGCCAGCCATAGCCAGTATCGCAGGCTGAACTCACTAACCACCTGCGCCATCGTGCTCTAGTAATAAAAAAATACACGTACTCAAATTAATAGATGGATATACAGAGTGGTCTAATTAGTGACGTCAACATTTTTTTTTGATTCCTCGCACCTGGAGGTATCCGAAAATACATGTATGTTCCGCGATTTTTCTTAATATTCGTGTATTTTTAATGATTTCTGCCAGCGAGGTTTCAAAAATTCATATCTTTTTTTGTAGTAGGTATTTTACAGTCTTTTTTTGTGACATAATTGTCTGGAATGTTGTTTTATTAAAAAAATAACTCAGCTTCCTGAAATTACTTACAGTTACTCAAAAAAGGCTTGAAAGTTGTAACTTTAGTTTTTAGTAAGATTTACTCAAACATTCAACTTCCAATTTAAAAATACAAAAACGAGTTTCCATAGCTTCTGGCTAAAATTAAATACTCCGCATGCTTCTAAACTACCAAAATTCATGAAAAGAAATTGTACTTAAGCAGCCTATTTTTGATGTCATTGGCCTTCGAAGGCGGATAGGCTAAAAACCATTGAAAAACGAATAAAGCATTAAAAATATTTTTTATGAAAAAAACATTCAAGACAATAGGCTAGTTGACTCATGTCAAATTGCACTATACAAATGTTTATTTCTTATAATTTTTGGTATCAGGAACCTAAATACATCGATTTCACTTCATAAAATTAGAAAATGGATGTAGTAATTTAATTTGAAATATAGTTTTTTAGTCTATGCTTTTTAAACATTAAAAACGCTGTCAACCATCATTGTGACGTCAACATAATAGCAAAACAACTAAACGTCATTGTCGTGTTACTGTGGTTTCTTTCGTCCGACTAAAATATATCTAAAAACTCTTATATCTTGAAGAAAAGTTTTCATTTATTGGTTTTCTTGACTAAATTAATGCTGGACGCCGGATTTCTGAAAGCAGAAACGACAAAACTCTTAAAGACTTAGCAGGTACATTCATAACCTTAAAAATTTAAACCACAACATTTCTGGAGTTTTAAACGATGTGTTTTTTTATTCTCGTATCATGATAATTACTATATTTATCATGAAATCTATTAGAAATCATGGTTTTTTCATGTAAATTCAGACAGGTTATATCCTACGTGCTTGCGAGTGTTTGTTTACTATTGTTCCCGTCATACCATAGATAATCTATAGACTAAAATGGCCGACAGCGTTTTTGTATGTCCATGAAAAATCTATTTTAAAATTAAAGTTTTGTAGCTTTCTAGGTAAAACAAATTACAATACATTTTTTAGGCCTAATTGAACAATTATTAACCATTTAAAACATATTTCCAAAAAGTGTCAACTAGCCTATTATGTCATAAAAAAAGAGAGCAAAATACCTACTACGAAAAAAGATATGAATTTTTGAAACTTCGCTGGCAGAAATCATTAAAAAATACACAAAAAAAATGTAACTCAAAAACTAATAAAAATCGCGGAACATACACGGGGTATTTTCAAATACCCCCAGGTATGAGGAATCTAAAAAAAATGTTGACGTCACTAATTGGACCATCCTGTATAATACATTGTAAGTGATGATTCCAATCATACCTGTCTGTATAAATATAAAGTTGAAACCATTTAATCGCTTCCGGTGCAGCGGAAGCCACCTCTTCTATTGAGCTAGTCGCTATAGTGCTCAAAGTAAAGATAATTCGCTCCGCTTGCGCAGCTAAAAACAGATCGAAACTAATAATTAATTCCTATTTTAGATTAATTATATAGATTTCCTCGCTATAATCAAAAACAATTTTTTTTACAAATAGGTATAAATGTAAAATACCCTTGTAGCAGAACAATGTTTGTATGAAAATATATTGCGATTTTTGGTGCAATGTTATTTTATACTTCATAACATAGCCGCCACACGGAGCAATGTGAACACAACTTTACTTGACTCCCATTCCCATAGCAGACTCCTCTCTTCTTCGCCCACGTTGTGACAAGCTGCCAGTTGGCCGAGCGCATCATGAAACGCCTACAATGAATATTATGAATATTATTCATTGTAGGCGTTAATAGTCCTATTTATTTATAGGTTTTAACTACATTCGCGAGCAACCAAATCGACATAAGCGCTACCTCTGCATTCAAACATTGTTTTAAGTGTACAACATTTTAATAAAAATGATATGTCATTTGAAAGCTTAAAACTTCAGTTTTTATGAGATATCAGCATTATTAATATCCATGTATATTTTTTTTATTATTGGTGTCTGAACTTAAATGGGGGAAAAATAGGATTATGGATAAAGGAGTTGTGTTCAGAATTGACACAAATAAAACACATTTTTTCCTTAAGAAGTATAAAATTTATTGGTTCAGTATTTGGTATTACCCCCCCTAGCCCTAATTACAGCCCGTAGTCGGTTCTTCATCGACCTTATTAACTTTTTGACGGTGTCTTGAGGAATAACTTCCCACTCCTCTAACAAAGCTGCCTTCAATTCTTCTAGGCTCGAAGGTGCTGGGTTTCTTGCTCGTACCCTCCGTTTGAGCTTGTGGGGATGCTCGATCGGTAGCCCTCTGACGGCTACTTTGAGACAGCGCTCTTTAGGTCGGGCGTGCGCGTACTAGCTCAGCCTGCTTTGTCCCTCCAGTCCGGAGAGATAAGCCTGGATGAGCTGGCTCTCGTCGTCGACCGTTGGTGAAAAGCGTACGTGTACGTAAGCGTTTTTCGTGCAGAGCGCAATCAAGCAAGGGATCAGGTTGATCGACTTCATACACTCGATGGTGTTACGGTCTTCGGGCTGGTAGCTGGTGGTGACACTCACGTCTCTCTCCAGGAGATAGAGGTAGACTCACAGCCAACGTTGCAACCTGATGGACAGCAGGCCACAGTCTATGAGTCGCGTGACCATCGCTGCGTCAAATTCATATTAAGCACGTTGCGATCGATCCGCGATCTTAAAGGCTGCGAAGAAGGCCATATCGTCATCCACTGACGGGTCAGGGTACTGCGGTGTTGGGGCGGGTGGCTCGTCCATGCTACGAATTGGGACTTACGTCAGCGCGATCTTGGCCAAGCAGCGTCTTGCGGCGCGCTCAAGGCCTGCGGCTGGGAGGCCCGGTGATCCCCGCTGGCATAATGGCGACGGACAGTGCTCGCGGTGGAATAAAGTTACAGCTTTATTTCGGAGCACTTACGTGGGAGGTAGATCCGTGCGCTTGTAGACGTGGATACGCTCAGTGCGTGCGAGCGTATCTCTGGTAAGGGTTGAAGGGTCACGGGGGTTTTTATAGGGGTAGAGGGTAGCGCAACTCGCAGGTAACGTAGTGAAGTGAGTAATTTGTCCCATACGCCCTAACTGCGCAAATGAACATGTTGGTATTTGTTTTATTTAATAGATTTGATGTTTTTTTAAAGCTTAGGTTTCAAGCTTTCAAATGACATATTATTTTTATTTAAATGTTGTATTCCTTTACTTATAACAATGTTTTAATGTAGAGGTAGCGCTCGAGTCGATTTGGTTGCTCGCGAGTGTATCTGTACAGAAAAAAGCATTCTCTTCTTTCGCTGGTTTGGAAGACAAGTTAGGTTTATAAATATGCCGGAATACGGAAAATGATAAATGATGAAAGAAAAAAGGACGACACCACAAAATACACTGTCATCGATATAAGTTCTGCATATTATGCCTATGCTCACGCGTGGCTTAGCTATGGGGTAATCTTGTGGGGGAGCAGTGTTGATAGTACCACCTTATTTACAGCTCAAAAGAAACTCATTCGTATACTTGCGAACATAGAACAAACAGACAGTTGTAAACCATATTTCAAAAGATTCGAGATTCTTACTTTGCCCTGTATTTACATATTAGAGATTTGTTAATTCACTCGTAAATATCTAAATTTTTTTAAAAAGCGGAATGATACATCATTACGGTACACATCACGATATGGACATAAACTGCTTATACCAACTACAAGGCTGAAAATGAACTTATCTGGTCCACTTCAAATGGCTGTCAAAATTCATAATAAATTACCTAAAACGTTAGTTGAGGAAAAGGTTGATAATATATTCATTGGAATCCGGATCCGTCGGTCGTACAAGCGTTTGTATAAATAAACGGATGATTTTAAACAAAGAAATTCGTAAACCTTTGGCATTAGCGAGTTCACCATCCGGATGTGCCATCCTCTGCATGGCCGTTGGAGATATACCAATTGGCATGGAAATTTCATGGCCTAAAATAGTGGTACGAAGGTCACATCGCGTGATTCCCACCAGACATTTAGGACGTATGCGTAGTCTAAAAACACATTAAAACAATCTATATTACAACCAAGCTATTTCGAGCAAATAAGTATTTTTATCTATTTAAAATGGTTAATGTTTACCTTAGAAAAGCTAGTTTATTGTCAGCCAATGTTTGTTCATCTGTTGCTCCACTTCTATAGTAATCTCTGGCAGCTTTTGGCAATATCACTGTAGCTGCATCTTCAAAATCCTTTACACTTACATACTTTTCCATTATATATAGTTATTATAAACGTTATATATTGTAAATACCGTAACTTTAGTACACGACCGCGTGCAGACTTATTACACAATGATAGCTAAACGCTCAAGAAACATTGATTTATCAGTAGCGAGTTATAGAGCAGAGGTCACTTAATATATTACTAGATAGTGTCAATACTTTTTATTAGCATGCTATTAAAATAATTGTTGCGATTGTGAACACACTCCGTTTCAAAATATTTAATGGTTTCATTTCAATTATTTATAAAATTACAAATATCTATTATTATATCCGTTTTGTAAATAAAAAAACAATGGAAAATTTTCGAGTTTATTTCTTGATTATAATATCTGTACGAATGCTACTTCATGAGCATTATTTAAATGTCAAATGCCATTCGTTATATATTTGCCATAGAAATGTTATACAAAATCAACTGACCTTATAAAAATTTATCAATTAATAATTTTACACCTGAATGCCGTTTTAGACATTTGATAGATTTGTGATATGCCAACAAAATTTTATTAAAAAAGGCTAGTGAATCCACTCTTAAAAGAATAGATGGCTGCACATGTAAAAAGTTTTAACAATACATAAACAGTGAAATTAATAAATATCTTGTGTATTCATATTAGACTCAGCCGAAACGGTATTAGGTGTGTTATTTTACACTTTATAAACATTGCTATTTTTCCTATCTAAGCCTAAGATCGATCACATTTTATCTTCATTCAACAAAATAACTTTTGCACTTTACAAAAGATACAAAACATTTGATTACTAAGCTATTAAGAAAAAGGGCCACCACTCATCCCCCATTCTATAAATCCATCTTTGGTAATAAGTTAACAATACAATCAGCATTCAAATCGTTCTATCTTGACTACAGAGCATAAATCAAAATAATAAAAAAAAAACTAGAGACCATTTATTCAAGCCTAAATAAAATCAAATTTGAACAACTTTTTCAAATGTTAAATAAAACTTGTCAATAGATCACTAAACAGACTATCAGGTGTAAGCAATTTGAGCAAATAAAGGTAAATAAGGCACAAGGTCTATGCGACCTAATTTTTTATAATTAGTTTAGTGCTTAACACTTACGATAAATTATGAGAAATGCATAACTAAATGACAGTGTTTGCAGTGTTAAGAAGATCAGAAGGTACAATTAAAATTCTATGAGAGAATGCATCGCCTGATAGCCTGGATCATATAACGATTAATCACTAGAAAGAAGAAAAATATACAACCGTTAAGACATATAAAAATAAATAACATATTACAAAGCAGAATATTGACATAGTGGCAACATTTTTCTGATAGACTAGTTGTTAATACCTATATCTACATTTTGTTGAATTAAAATCTAAGATCTCATACACCTATCGAAAGAAGCCAAAAATTAAAATTTATTATGTTTAGTCAGTTTTAGGCCAATTTTGTTGTTGTGGCCACAATCATAATCTATGTACAGTCAATTTTCATGAGCTCTTTTATTTAGTGTTGTTTTTCAATTTAGAGCTGGGCATGACTTAGTATATGATTCAAAATAGTAAACTTTCTTTGAAATTAGAATATGTTGTTTACTGTTTCTTTTATAGTCAATAAGTTACACATGCGTGTAAAATAAAGTATTACAGAGCGCTGATTGTAAGGATTACGAAAGCTTTACATCGATTTCTTAAATAAATTAATTCAATAATGCATACATTTTATGTAATACTGTCCATAACGTTTAAATAATAGCTCAGAAACTTATTTGTTATTATGTGTACTTCATTTTTGCTACATAACATTTTAATTTTAGTTTCATATTATTCTGAACAAAAAATATGACAGTCCCCTGCAATTACAATAATAACACATGCTTTATAAAAATGATCTAGCAAATAGTTTTTGATAATTCTGTCATCATGAATTAATATAATTTTCACTACGGCATTAAGATTAAAAGTACAATAACCATTAGTTACATTAATTAATTCGAATTCATAAAGTACAAAGATGTTTCATTTATGTTCGTTGTAATAATTTACAAAATATTGTGATTCAACAGTCGCTCATGCATCACGACCGGAACATCGTTCGTCGAAATTTATTGTTTGAATCAAAAACTGAACTCATTCAAATGACAGTTAAGATAGCACCCACTTAGCTTAAGCTTCTATTTTTAATAGAACTACAACAATGTTCATTTGCTTAAAATTTATTTCATTATCGAGTTATTAAGATTCACATTTTATTAAGATGCTTAGCTAGCAGTTACGAAATGCGTTTAGTAAAACTACAAACACACTTTTTGTTAGTATTTATCATTCCCTGTAGTGTACAAAATTTTTAGAGTAAAATGCACACCTTAATCTAGAGTTACGATACGCCGCTATATATAATTACGAAGTACAAAATTCAAATAAACGCTTCACGATTTTCGGTTTCAATTCATGATAACTACATTAAATTTTATTGCAAATAATAATCATCAAAGCGCAGTTCAAGATGTTAAAAGTTATCTAATCTAGTAGAAATATATTTAAATGAACATGTAGTCGCTTACTAAATCATTACAAGATGCTTAATAGACGGAAGGTGTGTGATAAATATTAAACAAATATTTCGAGACAATTTAAGTAAGTTTCATAGGTTTGTTTCGATTCAATGCATAATCATTTAATTTAATAAGATTACTACAAAATCTGATAATGACCACCAACTACAATTATTCATCCAAGGCAGTAGTGGCCACATTCATAATTTTTGATATATTTATTTTTGGCAATAATATTTTTAGATATTCTTGTGTTCATTGGAGTGTTTAACGCAGTTTGATGGCACCTTTGATGGTCGAGAATAATAATAATATTAATATTGTTACAACAACGCATTAAACATGTTAACGGTGAACGCATTTCACAACAGAACACGAAATAAAAAAAATCTTAATTACAACAAAATAAATACTATGGTACTTTTAAAGCGGAACTTTAAGTTAATAAATAACCGACCGCGGGAGGCGAAAGACGGACTCTCCGACGAGTCGTTAACATCACAGAACAAAACTACGGCGAACGCTGAATATCACGAAAGACAGACACCTCTTTGATACCGCACAAATAATAATTACATTCAATTTACCCGCAAAAAGGGAGAACATCTGTTGATAACCAACTCCAAAGGACATTCGTGCAATGAAAGTTACACTACTCAATTCAAATGGACAGATATTTATGGAAATTTTAGGAAACAAGCATTCAATGGTGTTATTTGGTCTGTTAAGATGATCCGTACATTTTATTTACTACATTTAATGACTCGAATAATACATAAATATGTTACCTAGATTCATTTTGATCACAGCGCGGCCACTCGCTTTCCCAAAAATTTAATGCAAAAAGTTCTACTTATCAGGGAAAACTCCGTCGCAACACCTTTAAAAAAAAATAACCTATGCAAGCGCAAGAAGGCAGTTGTAGATGGCGCAGTTTTTTGGGTCGTAATGATTTTATTATGACTATTTACAATTGCATACTACAATATCACTTAACATTTAGCATTCGCACTTCAATTCATCAATCTACAAGTCTTTGATATTGTCTTAAAAACCAGCACGACCTGGACTGGAGTTGGCTGGCTACTAGATGACAGATTACATTTATGTCCATGATCTATGCATTAGTTTCGAGACCATATTTTAGGGCAAACGGTGCCAACGTGAGGTCACTACATAAATATACTAGCCTAGAGCGAACGAACATTAAGAATGGTTATGCAACAGAGTTCCTTACGGCACCTTTTACATAGACCTCAAGCTGGAACTTCGACAGCTCCGTCATCATTAATTTTTATGAAAACTATGCAGCGCCCTTAATGGACGCAAGAACAAACTGGCACCATCCATACAAAATTTGATGATGACGATATGATTGCTGATCTGACAAAGTTCGTGCTTTGGCCTCTGATAGTTCATTTCAGAAATAAGACACGATCTACCGCGTCAAGAGTTCTGTACCTGTGCTAAGGGTACTGAAGGTGCATTTAAGGGTAGTCCTTTTACAATACAAAAGAAAGTTTACCTTCGTACGGCATCAGAGAGATGGGTTTAGCAGCAGAGTCACGGATCAGAGCTTGTTCGCACGAGCGCTTTTCCCCCGACGTTTTTTAGTTCTTCGAATAGATCTTATGATTTTTCCCATGTGTGTTCGCATACGGGCGCTTAATTTTTTTTTTTATCGGTCAACAATTCATTTTAACGCCGCACGCAAAGTGCCGACGTACATACATACGACATGACGTTCAAACGTAGGGAAACGAACGAAGATGTTCACACGGGCGCTTTTTAAAACTCCGAAGTGATTAAATAATCGTTGAATGATAAATTTAATTAATATAAAAAAGGAGTTTCTTCGATGCCTTTTTAAAAAAAACCGTCATTGCTGCGATTTCAGCCTGATTTATGGCGCATCTGTACCACAAAATACGGACAGTCACCGGGGTTACCACAAATTGTCAAAGTATTATGAATCTCATATCGAACAATATCAGGTCAGTTAGCTTCAGTACACAGTGATTATTTTAACGCTTGTTTGAACACAAGCAAATGATAAAAAAAGGTCCGATTTAAATGTGGCGATTTTTACAGGCTCCCATGCAAAACATCTAAAAACGCAACGTTTTTAAGCTTCCGTACGGACGATCTAATATAACGCGAGGCTTTCTTAAAATCCTGTGCGAAGGATCCGTCGGCAGGGCAACAAGCAGCACGTCTGCGTTGGACGCACGATTTTTTACTTTGAATGTTCTCCTTATACTACATTCTGCTTTTCTAACCTTTCACGCGAACAATTCCTTAACGCGACGCTTTTTTAAGCTCTCGTGCAAACGATTCGTTACCGCGACGCATTTTTAAGCTCCGTTCGCAAGGCTTTTTTAAAATCGCGTGCGTAGGACCCGTCGCTTGCTGACCTGCCGATGCCCTACCGGCCGCCGCAGCGCGCAGTCGTCCTAAGCTTTCGTGAAAACGATCTGTTGACGCTTTCTTACGCTCACATGCGAACGAACTCTAGACACCTCGCTTTTTTGTCGCTCAATTGCAAATAATCTAATACGCTAAGCTTATAAGATAAGCTTTCATGCGAATGAACAACGCGACGCTTTTATTTCCCTTGCTTCTACTAACGCGAGGCTTTCTTTAGATCACGTGCGGGATACATCGCACTTGCGCTCTTGCCGCTTGCTGACCTGCCGGTAGCCGCAGCGCGTCGTCCTAAGCTTTCGTGAAAACAATCTATTAACGCAATGCTTTTTTAAGCTCCCATGCGAACGATCCATTGACGCCACGCTTTTGTTTTTTCGAAGTGCAAACAATCTAAAACGCAAAGCTCTCGTGCGAACGGTCTCATAACGCGACGCTTTTATCTCCCGTGCTTTTACTAACGCGAGGCTTTCTTAAGTTCACGCGCGACACGGGATGCGTCGGCCGCGCGCATATTTCGTTTGCTTCGGTGCTCCTGCCGTAGTGAGTCTCCATCGGGCGCGTCGTCGTCCTCGCCGCTGTCGTCGTCGGCGGGCTCGCCGTCCGCAGGCTCGGTTGTGTCGGCGGGCGAGCTGCAAGACGGACCCTCGGTGGGTTCGCGGCTCTCCTCTTCTTCGTCCTCCTCTTCGGGACATAGTTGGTACGCCCTGCAGAGTAACGTGTGATTTAAAGTGCAATTCGAACTTAACTTTAATAATTTATTTATTAGAAGTAATTTACTTATAAGTTATAGAATGAGGCAGATATAACTCGTGACATTAAAGAAAGGAATCGCAAATGAAGATGAAAGACATCCTGTCCCTCTCACACATGCTATCCAAAGTAACATGCAAGAGAAACAGAATGTGTTGCATCGGCATTTTCGTTGAGTTATAACAAAAACAGGGGTTTTTCTTAAAAGATTTAAAGATTTTACTTACTTTTCGAGAGTTTTTCTTGCTGAATTGCTACGCTCTAAGAAATATCCGCTGGAAGTTTCATTGGATGTTCCGGGAGGAGACCACGTGCCATATGATCCGTAACCTCCAGTCCCATACTTCTGAAACAAATTCAACCTTATTGGACTGATGTAGAATAGAAAGGGGTTACTATTTTCACAAACGCGCTCGAACCATAACCGCGATTTTACTGATCGGGAAACAGACTTGACCGGAGCGCCGCGGGTGAATGATCTCGATAAAGGTCGAGTAGTGCAGTTCATTCTAATATGAGCATTATTCAGTGGGACGTAAGGGTGAAAGAGCAACGACATCTGCACTTGTTTACAACCCATGCGCGATACCTACGTATAACTAGGTACCACGTACTCGGCGGTGCTGGTAAAAGCTCAATTTAACTGGACTTTACTGGAATGTGTCGATTGGCGTATATAAGCGTGCGAGTTTGGAACAAATACAAAAAGCAAGTAAATTGTTTAAGTGCGATTGTTTAAAACTTGTATAGTGTACAGTAAGTGTAGAATTTTTTATGTTAAGAAAGAACCTAATGAACTGTATGGTAAACAAAGAACAGTCTAGCGTGAACTGGCATATAATTTTAAACCCCATCCCGACACGTAACAATATATTTAGTAGAAAACCCTGAGAAAAAAATAGATTTGAAAAAATCCACGCGGACCAGGCAGCAGACGGGACTCGAACCCGCACCCTTCGCTATCCGGGCGAATGCACTGCCCAAAACGCTACCACGGCCCTGTTGGCCGCGTCGAAAATCTTCTAGCCATTCTTAAGCTGCAAGACAGCACCATCTCTTCGCATTGTAGTGCGGTCATTGAAGCGAAAAATACGGTCTTACCTCAGATTTTTTTTACTGTGAACCGATTTGCATGAAATTTTGGAATTAGGCTCATCTTACCCTAAACTTCAAAAGTGAAAATGATCTGAACTCCGCCTATTATTTTTAAGGGGTGTAAACAACCCCTTAATGGAAAAATTGACATTGAGCCATTTTATCGCTAGAAAACATGTCTAATAGTAAGTGGTGAAATTGTAAAATATTTTCTAACATAATTACCTCATTAAACAAAACTAGTTTTACGGGTTAATGCACGAAACTTTATTTATTTATTGACGTTTCGAAAACGTGGAAGAAGGGGTGGCAACCACCCCCAGGGTGGTTGCGGAGTTCAAATCATTTTCACTTTTGAAGATAAGAGTAAGATGAACCTAATTCCAAAATTGTATGCAATTCGGTTCACAGTAAAAAAATTCGGAGCAATAATGCTTCAATGACTGCACTATTGTAGGTAACCCACAATGTCAAATGAATACTTTTACAAGTATTAAACATTTGAAAGAAGAGATAGCAATTATAGTTATAATTTTTATTTTTTAAGTGGCCGGTGCGGGTCGCAAGGAGCTAGCAACTAACGTGTGGCGGACACCGGCGTTAACAGTGTGCGGCGAGGTCATATAAAATGTATGAAAAGTGCAGGACATGTGCATATGCCGGTGGCGGCGTTTTGTGGTTGTGGCCGGTGGCCCGTGTGCGGCGACCCTTAGCATGCCGCACGCTGCAGTATACAGTGTACTCACGCGGTCGAGCTCGTCCTGCAGCCAGGCCAGCAGCTGGCGCCAGCGCCGGCGCGCGTCCGGCGAGGCGTGCACGGCGCGTATGGCGGCGGGTGCGCGGCACATCACTCCCACCAATAGTTTGACGCACGCGTACGCACGCTTCTGGTAGTGCCCGCGCGCTCGCGCCGCCGTTTCAAGCAAGCCCGGCCGCTCTTCGGACACACCCTGCACACGCAACATAGAAACATGTCAATGCAACGCGATCATCAACCGTTTTTGAAGTGAAACTTCTTTAGGCACGCTTGACTTTTGGGGGTAAACTGGCGAATGCGTTACGAGTTACGATTAGTGTCCCCGGTGACTCATCGGTAAACAATGAACAATTAAGGCACGCTTGACTTGGGGGGTAAACTGGCGAATGCGACTTTAACATGTCGTTTCTTTGTTTTCAGGTAAGTTAGTATGATTTATAGTAGATAGAAAAAAGTGTTATGAGTAATAAATGTTTTAACCTACCTACATACTTAAATAAAACCTTTGTTTTCAGAGCAACATATTTGTTTAATTACTTTTACAATTTCCATTAAAAGATATTGTCTTATAAAACGACATTTCTAGTTAAAAACAATAAAAATGGAAAAACTGCGATTTAAGTTTGTAGTATTGGGATCAGCGGATGGAAAAACAAATGTAATAAGCATAACTTCAATTTAGACACCGGACGGACGTATTTTTGAGGTTCCTGATGAGTTCAAGACCACAAGTAAGCATACTGCAATAATTTCTTTAGATATATTCACAAAAAATAAAAATTCACTTAAAAAGAGGCACCAAAGTCGTACACTATGGATACCTCTAAGCCCAGATTTGAAGGAAATATATCTAGATGAATGTGAAAATTTGCAATTTGGTGACGAGTATTTAGATGAAATGTCAGAAAGAGCAATGCCCTCACACAGTTACTGTAATAGTGATGTGCCAGAAACAAAAAATGTAGCAAAAACGGCTGAGAGATTTTTGATAGAAAAATTTTCCAATAAAATATCAGATGCTGAACAATGGCTGAGTGAATTTGAGAATGAATGTAAAAGATTTGATATTCAACGGGATGTAGAGAAAATTGAAATTTTAAAACATCTTATATAAAAACAATGCTTAGATTGGTATAGCAGTATCTTAATAAAATTTTCGGTAAATTCCGAATGATTAATATGGAAGAACAACTTTTGTGAAACGTATGGAAATAAAGGTTGGTTTAAAGTCAAATATGCATTTACATTTAAATTTCAAGCTGATTCGTTACTGGAATATGCCACAAAAAAGGAAAGATTGTTATTAGAAGTTAATAAATACATAGACTCCCAAACAATGATAAATCTTATTGTAATGGGGTTACCAGATTACGTTATGGACAAAATCGATAAAAACAGTGTAAAATCAACTGCAAACCTCTACAATGAAATCGGAAAACATGTATATATACAGGGTGAAATTGAATGTTTCTATGAAACTTCGTGAGATTATTGCGTTACGTGTATAGAGTATACCTGATTTTTTTCAGATTTTTTAATTTTTTTTTTTTTTTTTTTTGCATTTTTATGTCCTTTCCTCCTTTTGAGTGATAATTATTTTTAAAAAAGGAATTAATAGTAAGTGAAATATAACAAATAAATAAGCACTACTAAAATAAACGAAAAATAGTTGATTTGATTGAGGAACATATTCATTTTTTTCACTAGAACTTTTTATCAAATCAATCACACTGGTAGTACACTAATTAGTTGTTTCGAATCAAAAAGTATTAACGCTAGCAAAAAAAAGAGACTAAAATTATTATTTGCAAAGTTATTGCACTATACTTGCCTAAAGCAAGCCTTGCGGCTCTACTGAGCACTTCGTCACACTCGCGATAGCAGTACACCATTTCTAAATATTCTTGGTTCGTATACCGAGGCATATTGAAATTATCACAGTGTTTGTCACTAAGTCAAAAGATGCGCACGCGCGATTGATATACTTGCGACTGCCCTTTGCATGCATTGCAATCAAAGCAAAGCACCGCGCGCGGGGAAGAGGGGAGGTGGGCGGGCGAACGTCGGCGTACATAAAAGGCAGGACTTTTTAAGGTGCTTTCACATAATCATGCCGAAATAGCCCGCGCCGTACTACTTACTAAGACTAAGACTAAAGTAAAGCCTTGTATTTCTATAGTCAAACATTTACAAAAAAAAAACTGCCGTTGATATTTGTTACTGCCTCAGTAAGGCACCTCGCGCACTAGACGATAATGACCACGACCAGGAGCCGCGAGGACCAGATTAACTAAGGCACGTCGTGCACTAGGCCACGACCATGAACAGTCGTGGCCGTGGCCGTCACCACAACCTTGATCGCAGAAGCTACGGTTGGGCTGCGGACAAGTTTGTGGCAACGACCACGACTGGTCGTAAAGCGACCATATTACTGGTCGTTTCTTTATTTCATTAATAAATAACTCTTTCAAAGCTCTTTGCAGAAAAATATCGTCGTCCTATAGAGTTGCGGAACGATACGAAGCGTGCTCTTTCACGAACTATCAGCATGACACTGAGAATGGCTGAAGCGACCAGGCCGCATTTGCGATCGCAGATCTAGAGCGCGAGCGCTCATAGCCAGCTATACGGAAGATAGTCGCAACGACTAGTGGTACTGGCCCGCACTAGATCTGCGACAGCGAATGCGGTCAATCTCAGTGTCAAGGTCATGCGGACAGTTCGTGAATGAACATGTTTCATACCGTTCTTCGACTGAATATGACGACGTTTTTTTCTACAATAAGTTTTGATACAGAGTTATTAATTAATGAAATAAACGACCAGCAATATGGTAGCGTCACGACCAGTCGTGGTCGTGGCCGCAGACCGCAGCCCAACCGCCTCTGCGACCAAGGTTGCGGCCACGTCCACAACTGATCGTGGCCGCGGTCGTCTAGTGCGCGAAGTGCCTTAATCGAACAACATGATAAACATTTAACATTTCAAAATTATAAAGTTGTTGTATCCACAACAATTCATTCATTTGTTGATAAAAATGTTGGAGAACTAGCGTCAGATTGTTCAATACATCGCTATTGCTGATTTAGTGTATTCGCACCTTTAGCGAAACTTTGGCGAATCGTGCTGTTTCTTTCTTCTCTGAAAGGAAAACGCGCACTATAAACGAAAACGGATTCACATCATCAAAGACGCCGCGACCGGCTCCAGCGCTGCACTTGTCTTGCCAGCGGGCGCGCGGGCGGCGCGTCGCCCGACCGTGCTTGCCGCAAAACAACGTATTATGTGTGTGTGTGTGTGTGTGACTGTGACTGTGATTAAATGTGTTCGGAATTTCATGACGTGGGCAAATCAGTCACGAAGAGTTATTTCCTTCACTAAGCTCGTAAGTTAAACCGATTTGCTCTGTATAATTTTTCGCCGTTTGCTCAAGTTTTAATTAAACGAGGCAACTAACATCAACAATAAAAAAGAAGTTCTTACACTAACAGTCAGTCTTTACCGATTTAAAATCGTGACAGTCATATTAACTTTATAGGATTTTTAATTGCTCTAACAGAAGATTTATTTTATTGATTAATTACCTGTGCTTTATGAAATAATATTCAAAGGTATTGTGTATCAGTGAATAAATAATTATAATATAGCATATAAGACTATTTTATTGTAATGTTTTTCAATAGTGTGGAATCAAAGCGGATAGTAGGTAAGCGCCGAGTCATCTGTGCGTGTAGTAGGTACATAGGCGGCCGCCGGCGCCGTTCGTCGCCCCCGGCCGGGGCTGATCTGGACTGGAGTCATTCATTAAGTTTCCGTTTTTTTAGGAGTGCTTATTTTAAGTGGTTTTACAACTTCTATGTAGACGTGTTTAAAATGAATAATTACTCATAAGGAAGAAATGACAAAAAAATAACCAAATAAAAAATAAAAAACGCGCGGTGGAACGGTTGTTCGAAATTCAAATACACGAACGAAATATTTTTTTATATTATTTTCTTGTATGTGAACTAGTGATTAGTTTTTCTTTATTCTAAAGCAAATTTCGCGTACATTCTGATAAAAAAAACTGTTTACCAAAATTGTAAATACTTTTCGTTTTATAGACATAAAACTGAGATGACTGATTTGTAGGCGATTTTTAAATGCCTCGTTGTAAGTTCTTAAACCTAAAAAATATACAAACGTTATTCATAACAATCTTGGTTCTAATGTTATCTTAACACTCGGAGCTAATGGAGTAATAAATTATAGCCATCCAAACAGCGGGCGTAATCTTTACGACCCACTTGAAATCTGAGTATGTTTATATTAACGGCGCACGTGTTGACACATTTGGCGCGCGCTCGAGACAGATCTGTAGTGTAAAATTTAATTGTGGTAGTATAGAATTTTAGGTTTTTATTTGGTAAGTTATAATAGAATGTGCAAATAACCAAAAAATCTGGACATGAAATTTTGAGATTTTGAAAATATACTCCATTTTACCCGTCTAAACGCCTTTTTTTTATCTTTCCCGAGTTTACCGTAACGTAATTAAAATAGATTATAGACATGACGCATTGTTTAGACACTGTTTTATAGTAAATTTTATGGAGAATCCAAATATATATAGTTTGTGTAGGGTATTCTTACAAAATAACTGAGAAATCGGCAAAACAATGCAACCATTCCCACACCGCGGGGGGTCTCGGTGGGTGGTCGGTCCAATGACCCCTTCGCGGCACGTGCGGATGGCCGCGGGAGAGGATAACCAAATAAAAAAATAAAACACGTAAAAAATAATTTAAAAAAATCCGAAAAAAATCAGGCATACTCTATACACGTAACCCACCAATCTCACGAAGTTTCATTGAAACATTCAATTTCACCCTATATAAAAAAAGAAGCCTTTTTTTTTAAAGTTACAAAATCTTATTAATTTATTTACTTTCATTTGGGAAATTTATACGTTAAATGTGGAAAAAACTAACGTCTGTTCACGTCCTTGCGAGTTTTGATCAAGATAGATTCAACGTTTTTTTCGCGGGTAGGCGTGAAAGGTATAACACTTATAAAAATCGCTCATAGTTTTATTAAATATTGAAAAGTATTAAGTCTTCATAGTTAGAAAGTAATATCTCCAGTGGCTATGTTGATATCTCCTACTCCCTCACAAACATTATCTCCGTGTAACCATGGACACCACAACAGAAC